TGTTATCTTGTTTGGAATCAGAGGACAACTTCCACCATGTGGGTTCCAGGCATCAAAATTGGCAAGTGTTAAACCATCTTGCCACCCTCCCCACCCACTAAAAGTTTTAAAGTATGCTCATAGCATCTTCATGTACCATAACATTTGCCTCTAAGATTATGTGCATTAATAACAAAACAAAATCTAAAGTCTTAAATATAACATCCAAGTGACTTACTGTTTGTTTCCAGCTTGCTTTTCCAGTCTTCAAGGTGACTTCATGTCTGTATCATCCAGGCAAGAGATAGCCTTCAACTCTACTCCTTATATTCCTCTATTCTCTGTTCAATTCTGACCCTTCAGCCTGAAATGCATTGACATGAGATATCCACCTACTCAAATCCAACTCAGTGTTCAAGGCCAGGCACATATCACCACCTCTGTGAAGCCTGTCCAGATCCCCCTATTGTTCTGCTTTCCACAGCACCTGATTTACACCTCCTGTAGCATTTGTCATATTCTGTCCCACAGTAAATGTTGTGGCAGACATTTTACTCTGGTTCACAAGAGTACCAATTCCTTAGAGGTAGGGACCTTCTTATGTTCATGACCCCTACTTTATTTAAGACACTGTACATAAATTTGGAGAAAGCTTTTTGAATGAATGACTAGCTGCACTCTCAGTGAGCGCTTTTTCCTAACATATGTGCATGAATGGAGTGGTATGTTTGGGTTGGAGGAAGACTTGCTCATTTCTTTCTGATTGTATCTTAAATGCAATGGCTGGATTTGAGCCTAGAGACAATCACAGTGAGTTTGCTCTGTTAACACTTCCTTCTGGTGGGCAGGGGAGCTTAGCTGGGACTATTCCTGGCTCTGTGACCTCTCTCTCCCTTGCTTCTGGGACTACTATCTCATGCCCCAGAAGCTACTTGCTTTTTTCTGCCCATAGCCCTTCATTCTACCATAAAAAAGACATAGTAGATGGTACCCTATGAAGCCACCCAGGGTGCACAGGAGTGGGGATACTAACAGGAGGGAATACAGGGTTAATAGAGAAAATGGAAAGAAAACACAGTGTCTGGGTCTATAGCTCAGAAATAGAGCACTTGCTTAGGAGGTGCAGAGCCCTGAGTTCCATCCCCAGCACCAAAAGGAAACATCCCATGATTCCTCCTCTGTATTTGAATCTTGCCTGATACATGTGGGACAATATCACCTGCAGGGCTCAAGGAGGAGTGGAGAAAAAGCCTAGCAGTATAAGGGGAGTATAACACTCCCATATAAGAGTATTTTTCTGATTATCAGAATTCTCAGAGCCTCCTGGACTGGAGTTGTCAGACATGCTTGGCTTCCTATTTTTTCATTAGAAAAAAAAGAAAAGAGAAAATCAGTAGCCCATAGAAAGAAATGGCCCAGTGGAGAATTATGATCCACCTTAGCATGCCTGAATCACAATGACAGATCATTAAATAATGTTTTACTCTGCATCAGCTGCCCTGCCTGCCCCAGCTGTCAGCTGCTTTGCCTGTCACAGTGATGATTTCATCTGGCACAGTGAAAATCTCTGAGCAACCCACAAATGCTTCAGTGGCAAAGCCCTGGGGGCACTGGGATGGAGGAAGGTGCGGGACAGAACAGGAGGTGGGAGGAAAGAAAGAAGAGTTCCCAGCAGGAGAGGAAAGCCAGCTAAGCCTTCCATCTGCCAGGTAGTCCAACCCAGTGAGCACAACCAGGTGAGATTCTGGATACCAACAGCGTGCCAACAAGAGGCAGGGAAACACAAAGAGAGAGGAGCTTGACTAGGACTGTGGTCACACAGACATCAAGCATGACAATATAGGATGCTGAGCTAAGATAGTCCTCTACATGACAAGGCAAATTTGCTAAGCCACCATTTGTTTGGTGGTGGTGGTGGTAGTGGTGGTGGTGGTGGTGGTGGTGGTGATCGTGATAGTAGTGGTGTTTTTTAAAAACAGGACCTCACTCTGCAGCCCAGGCTGGCCTGGAACTTGGTCTTTCTACTTTAGCCTCCCCAATGCTGTGATTACAGGATATAAACCCTGCCAGCTTGACTGTAAAGGATGTGCTTGTAACTATTTCATCATTCTGCATTCTGGAGGTCTGTGAAATCCAAGCTTGGGGTGAAGGTTGTCTACCCATCTAAGCAGAAATCCCTCCTCAGGTAAGTGGAGTACGAGGTTGAATAAAGAGAAACAGGCAGTCAGTTTGGAGAAGTAAGACAGAAATGTGTTGGAAGGCTCTGGCAGAGGCAGAAAAAAAAAAAAAAAGGATAAAGCCACCCGTGCAACTTCACACATTCAGGCAGCTCCTCATTTCACTTCTTCTGGGAACCCTTTCCAGCAAGCAAAAATGGATCAAAATGTCAACCCCTCCGCTCCTCAGAGAACAACTTAGAGTGTCTGCAAAGTACCAAGAATCTAAACAAACAGAAACTCTGCCTAAGAAAAGATGTCATCAGAAGTGAGAGGACCTGTCTTACATAGAAACTAGGCCTTTGAGAGACTGAATTTGTGGCTTGAGAAATACTTCCATATTATTTACCGGTCCTACCATGTCATTCAGGTAAATGAATATGGCTTTAATGTCTACTCAACTGTCCAGGGTATTTGATCCACTCTGAGATGTTCTAAGACAAACTCCAAATTCAACACTTCCCCTGGGCTCATTTCTCTTTTCGGGTGACTTTGCACCCCTGACTTAATTTCAGGGATCTGAGTTGATCAGCTTAGGTAGCAGAGAGCAACTTACTAAGAGGAAAGAGACCTATCATAAGCCTTCCCTGACTGATGGATTTCAAAGAAAACTTGAAATGATTTAGGGAACCATCCACTTGCAACTTCCTCTCCCTCATCTGGTACATGCAACAGTGAGCTAAGAAGATGAGCTCTGCCTGGGAAGTCACCTGCCTGAGAGTGACAAGGGTGTCACTGGATTTCTACTTGATTAAAATCATCCGAGTGGTTCCTTCAAAACCATCACCATGCTAAAAAGACATTTACAGAATGGTGATTGAAACAACAAAAACACTTCCTGTTGTGTTGGCACTTCAGAGAAAAAAAAAACACAAAAGAACTTCATTAAAAGAACAAAATTAGAATAGGCATAGAACTGGGAGTTGTTTATCCTGATAAAACAAAACAGTAGTTTCCTGTTTTGAATAAAGGAAGGTTTAACTAGCCATGACAATTGAGACAATTATTAAATTTCATTGTCTTAATGGTAGCCCGTTGATTAACTGTGATGCCTGATTAACCTCATCTCTGTTTTACAAGCATACTTAACAGCAAAATCATGTAAAGGGTGTTCAGGTGTATAACTAGAAGTAGGTTTATTTGAATTAAAGTTTTCCCCTGGAGGCTAGGAGAGCTTGAGAACAGCTAATTCACTCAGAGTAAAACGTCATTTGTTGGACATTTCTTTCAACATTCTAAAGCCAGTTGTTAGAGGTGACCTTACTGAGAAAAGCCAACTTCTGGTCTTGGGGTGAAAAGCCATACTTCTGATCTTAGATTTTCTTTCTCAGAGTAACTGATATTCTTTTCTTTTACGCATTTATATTTCCATCAGAACAATTATTCAGATGTGTTCAGCAGTGACAAATCTTCACCTTTTGAGCAATATTTGCTGCTGGAAACACCAGGTCACTCAGAACAACTGTGGGTGATTAATATACAAATTATCTTAAACATAATGTGGTTTTCTGGAGCCCAGGAGGCTGAATGCTTAAAAAGAATGTTTTGAAGGTTCATTCCTGTGAGGTGAGCAAAAAGGCAATCTCTATCCTCTGGAGGCAAAGGGTAAGTTTCAGTAGGTTCAGGGCTTCCTGTCCTAACCACTGGCTTTCCTTCAGTGCCTCAGTGAAGCCGCATTGCCCTGAACTAGTAAGGCTGCGTGCCATCCCTGGGACAATGAACAAAGACTCAGTGAGCCCACTCTCTGGAAAAGGAATGTGTGGCGATGCTGTCTCAGTCTGTTTTCCGTTGCTATACATGAACACCACCACCCCCATTTTTAAAGAATAGCTGTTTGTTTCTTCACTGGTGGCTTTTGAGGCTGGAAAGTCCAAGAATTTGATACTAGCATCTGGTGTGGGCTTTCATGCTGTATCATGAGCTGCCAGAGGAATCACATGATGAAAATGAGCGAGCATGCTAGCATGGGTCTCTCTTCCTCTTCTTAAAAAGCCACTAACGCCATTATCGGGACTACCCTCTTGACTTTATCCAATCCTAATTACCACTCAAAGGTCCCACTTACAGATACCGTTAACATGACTTTGAGGATTAAAGTTCCAGTCATGAAATTTGAGGGTCAAAGTCAAATCATAGCACCATCCCTGACTTAGAACTAAGTATGGCAGCTTAGAAGCCGTAAGCTCTAAAATGAAACAATGTTGTAATTTTTGCTCTAAATTTTCTTTCATGAGTCCCCAATCACTTTGGTTCATGGCATCTTTTGCTCTCTTCGTGGCTCTATCATAAGACCCCCTTTCTCAGGGGGATCTTCAAATCTAAATCCTCAAGGGGAGTCTGGGTAATGAGCTAGCTTTACCAACTGCCCCAATAGGAAGAGTCCTTACATTGGACATTTTGTGTCCATCAAAGACAGCCTTACCCTCCTTCTCTAAGCAGGCAGCCAAGTGAAAGGAGCTTCCACTAGAAGCACATGGAAAGCAGTACGGCTGGCACCATTAATTCTCTTTTGAAGCTATTCTTGCTGTGTGGGAACAAAGAAAAAGCAAGCTTCAAACTTTCAGAGGGAGGGCTGGCCTCCATGCCTCCAGTGTCCCAATTCCTGCATAGCCTGCTATGCCCTCTCCTGTGCCAGCAAGCAGGAGCATTCTATCCTCTGTGCCCCACCCAGAGGTTTCTGTCCGGTCCTCGACCACCCATGGATTTCTCCTCCACCAATCACCTGGACTTCCAATCCAATGTCTGTGTCCCTTACAAGAATCCAGCAACTCCTCCCCATCCTGGGTCTCTCTCTTTTGTCTGCAGGGCCTGCCCAGTCCCTTCTTGCGCTGCCCTTCACAAAGACTCTTGGATCGTGTGGTTCGACGCTATGCTGAAGTGGCTGATGCTGGCAGTATCTTCATGGACCACTTCACCGACCGGGACAAACTGCGTCTCCTCTACACACTGGCTGTCAATGCACACCCCATCATCCTTCAGGTACTCAGTGACCCCCACAATCCCTCCAGGTTATGTTATCACCTTGGACTTTCAGAGCCATCCCTGGGTTGATTTTTCTCCCTTCTGTTTCATGTCCTGGGACCACAAATCTGTGCTAGTACATTTGCACCATCAGGTAAGCGTTTGACAGCCTTGACAGTTAGTGAGGAAAGAGGTATGAGAATTCAGGGCTGGGTGTGTGGGTAGCAGGAAACAGCAGCCAACTTTACAAGTTGAGACATCCAGGAAGGGCTTTGTGAAGGGAGGCAAATTTAATCCCTGCCACGAAGATAAATGAGATTTGAGCAAGCTCAGGGACTGGTAAAACAGCCACTCAGAGATGTACCTTGAAGCTGTGTTTGGAAAGGAGAAAAAACTGGAAGTGGCATAATTGAAAATTGGTCAAATAAATGAGGATGCACTAGGGCCTGGGGACACATTTCATCAAAAAGAAAGGGACACTTACCGTGTTAACAGACATGCATAGAACCTGTAGAGCTAAATCCCCCAGACCAAGGATCAGGACAAGGACACCTAAATCACATAATGGACAGAAAGGACACCAGAAGTTAGAGGGGAGGAGAAGGGGGTGAACGAAGAGTAAAAGGTTGAAGAGGTCAGAAAGGAGGAAAAGGGAAGAGAGGAAAAAAAGAGGGAAAGCTGGGCATGGTGGTACAGGCTGTATGATGAAACCATCTTTTAAAATACTGTAATATAAAAATACAGGTAGAGAAGAAAGGAACCACAACAAAGACAGTTTCTAAATATTTGCCAAAAAGCTAATGGTTGACTACATGGTGAAGACTGTTGGTTATTAGGTTCTTGCTGCATGCCAGGTGTTGTGCTGAAGATTTGCTATCATTGCCAGTTAGTTCTCACTACAAGCCCCCCAGAATGATATTAGTATCTGATTGAGGCTCAGAAAGAAGTGTCTTAGCCACTACCAGCCATGAAACCTAAACCAAAAGATGTGTGACATCAGAGACATCAGAAGCTGCACTCTGCCTACTAAAACCTGCCCAGTGTCTTTGGTATTTGACATTCTAAAGGCAGAGAAGGAGCTGCTATTTTCCCTACGTGCTCAGGGGTCTTCCTGGAGGTCTTTTATTCACAATTCTAACTTTCATTGGCACCTTGGTTGTCCCACGGTCTGGCCCCTGAGAGACCTGACCTGAGACCATGGAGTTAAAACACTCCACTCAGCCCTCGGCTTTACCCAGAAAGAATGCAGTATGGAACCAAGGAGTGGCTTTACACATTTAAACAAGGTCAGTAGTTCCAGGTTGTCCCTTGGAGACACATAGTATGTAAAGTGCCCCAATTAGGGGAAGCTCAACCAGCAAAGAGCATGATTCTTTATGACATGACTTAAAGGGCATAGAAGGTACCAGAAAATTAACAGAGAGGGAGATAGGGAGGGACATAGAGCAGGCTGGGGGGGGGGGGGGGGGGCAGAGACTTTGAAGTCTACTTTTTGTTTTATTTTCTATAGTGCTGTGGATGGGACTCAGGGCCTTGTGTGTGCCAGATAAGCAGCCTGCCACTAAGATGCACCACCCAAACTTACTTTGTTTTCTTAAGGAAGTAAACAAAGGGGAAAGTGGTGTTTATAGTTTTCATCATCAGTTCTGGACATGGCTCCATTAAAAAAAATGGTCAACAGTAGAAATTCTAACATGGACAGGGAATATTCTACTCATAGATGAATACAGGCGGCCAATGGTTATGGAGAGAGGGAGAATGGACAAACTCCCACATAGATTGTCCAATTCCAAGTGATCAGCTCTGGTCACATATACATATGAGTAACACTAAATGGACTCAGTAGGTTGTATATACATGATGGATTAGATATATATATAAATACATGTATCTATGTGTAGTAATAATAAAGTATAAATGATGAAATTTGGAGAAAGAAGGGGGACACAGGAGGAACTGGAGGAGGAGGGGAGGGTGGGAGTGATGGAGATGCAGGGTTTATTTATGAAGTGCAAAAATCACACAAAAAACTTTTTAAAAAATTGTCAAGAAAAATCCATCTAGGATACCCTCCTCATTATTTTCCATCTCCCAAATCCATAAGTTGAGATCTTTTACAAGGAGTTAGGCTGGGTTACCCATCCCCAGACCAGTGCTAGTTTATCTGGAAGCTTCTCAACAGTTGAGAAGAATCTTTGAGTGTGTAGTCACCTGAGCCATACAGATTTGCTCAGCCTAGCAGTGGGGACAGCCACCTGCAGAACTAGGTACTTAAATTGTTCTGTTTTATTCATTCACTTATTCATGAGCTCTGTTGACCAAACTGGCCTCAACCCTCCTGCCTCAACCTCCTGAACAGCTGGAACTGCAGGCACACATGATACCCTCTTTGTAATGTACGAGTAGCAGTAGTAGTAGAAGTAGTAGTAGTAGTAGTAGTATTTATCTTTCAGTTGCTCTGAAGTTGATCTCTTATTGGTTTTCCCCTTGCTTCTTCCTAAGCAGTAGTATCTTTGAAAGTGCAAAGTAATCATATTTTTAAATGACACAACTTAAAAGAAAGCTATTCCCTGAATACCACTGAAAATCACTGAAGGTTGGCTAGAATTCTCAGGTCCCACTTGGAGAAACTTGGAAAATGTGATCCACTGCACCAATGAGAACAGTGTTCTTCCTGAGTCCTTCCATTGGCAATATACTGCAAAAGTGGGGGAAGGGCAGGGGCCTTACCATGTTCCAAGAGGTATACAAAGAGATCCAGGCTGGCAGTAAGATTATTTGTGTGGGCGGTGAACGAGAGGTAGAAGCAAGCTGCCTCTGTGAGATTGCTCTCTGTGTCTAATGCCTGCTCCTTCCGGCTTGGCAGATCTTCCCTGGGGCAGAGGGCTGGCCACTGCCCAAGTACCTGGGCTCCTGTGGTAGATTCCTGATCAGCACCAGCACCAGACCACTGCAAGAATTTTACGATGCACCTCCAGAGCAAGCTGCTGACCTTGCCTACCAACTCCTCGGGGTCCTGGAGTCCCTGAGGAGCAACGATTTGAACTATTTCTTCTACTTCACCCACGTTGATGCAGACATGTTTGGCATCTTTGACAATGGGCATCTGTTCATCCGGGATGCCAGTGCACTAGGCGTCATCGACAAGCAGGAAGGTACTCAGCATGGGCTTGGCTGAGCAGCTGTCAAGGGGGATGTCAGGGTGACCAAAGCTAAGGAGGCATCCTGGGCCTTTGTACTCTCTGTGTGTCACAGAGTAATCCAACTTTGGGGAATGTGATTGATCATAGAACAATGTCCCCTCGACCCCACTTGAATTTCTGTTTCATCTTTATTTCCAAAGGGAAAGGGAACTTGGCCTTGCCTGAAAGGGGCATTGTCCATGGTGGTATAGACTCCTGATGAGCCCTCGCAGGGCAGTCTGTATCTCATTCACGGGCCTCTCTCCCCCTCAGAGCTTTTCTCCTCAGATGTTCTCTATGAGCCTTGATCTGAGACATAACTGCTGGCATGATGCACTAGTACCCCTTACAGTCAGTGTTGACATACTGACTCTGTAAAATTTGAGAATGACAAAAACAAGGAACCGAATGAGGTGTATGAGCAAGTCATGTTTCTCACTGTTTACAAAGGCTCGGCCAGTGTTCTAGAGATCATTAAGCCCCAGTTTCTCAAGGTGACCAAATTTGCTGAACCCAATGACAGGACAAAAGATTTTTTCCCATTTCTGACACTCTTTAAAAACAAACAAACAAAAACTGCAAAAACAATAGAAAAAATCCTTTCTTCACTCTTGATTTGCGTTTATGAAGATGAAAGGTTGATCCCAGAATATTCAGGCTATGAAAATGTCAGTCCCATTGCCACCTGCTGAATGCGTATTCTGGATGACATATTCTCCTCCCTGACTTTCTATCCTAAATGTGCAATGAAACAAATCCTAATACGATCCTTACTTTCCTAATTCAGTAATAACAGGAAAGTAGCAATGTGGTTATAATTTCTATGAAAATAGCCCAGCTTCTGGTAGAGAACAATTAGGTTTCCCTCACTTGGGCCTTAGCCTAATGGTAGGACAGTGTTACTCAATGCTGTTCTCCAAAGGGACTGTCCTGTTCCTGAGTCCTAAATGTTCTGGTCACAAGAAAATACTTAGAGACTAAACCATTTCACTCAGCAATTCTAATTGGCAGTGCCCCCTTACCCCTTTCCCATCTTCCCCTCACCCTCTCATCCCTCCACAAGAATAGGTTGTACAGTATCAGATATTTTTCCATCCCTCTTCTAGGCAGCCAAGCAGATGCCGGGACTGGAGAGAATGAAGACATTTTTAGCTGCCTGGTTTCTGGCTGCCAGGTCCAGCTGTCCTCCTGTGACACTGTCCCTGAGATGCAAAGCCTGGTGCTGGTATGTCAACAGTTGCTGCCTCAACTTCTCCAGGGAAAGTTTCCCTCCCCTGTGCAAGAAGAAATAGACTCTGCTCTCAGCCTGTGTAGCAAGGATTCTAGCACAGACATGGAAGTTTTGGGGGCCACCAGCCAGCTGAAGGACATCTTGAGACCCCTGAGAACCTGCGATCCTAGATTTGCCTACCGATACCCAGACTGCAAGTATAATGACAGATTCTAAGTGGCTGTGGCCTAACTAGCCTAAAGGGACAATCCACAAGCTCTTCCATGTCCCTGATTGAGTTAATGCCAAATTGGAAGAAGCAATTCCATTTTACAGTTTTAAGTACATTCCTTTCCTAAGAAACACTCAAAACTAGTGAAAGAAACTCTGACACTGCATAATTAACACCACTGGCTAGGACACCATGGCAGAGTCAGGAGGTGAACATAGGAAGTCCCAGGTGTGAATACTCCGTGTCTTTGAACCTTCATTTTCTCTGTACTCTACCAGGCTCTCACTAGTTAAAGAAAACAGATGTAAGGGACCCAAAAATATAGTCATGACCCACAAAGCATGTTCCAGAAGCATATGTCAGGAGGCTAATATAGGTAGAGGGCAGAGTGAAGGCAGGGGTTTAGGCTAATGGAACATAAACCCTCATTCCTACTCCTTTGCCTCTGTGAGTCTGAACCCAGCAAAAGCTAAACAATGCAAGAAAGATTGACTCTCTACCAGACCAAGATGGAGCCATACACCAAAGGAGCTCCATATCTTCCATGAATAGATCTGCTTTATTGTCCCTGTGTGTCCAGAGCTAGCCAGAATAGGCTGTGGCAGTGTGACTGCAGCTTATCTACAAAGATAGATTTCAGAGCACAGCAGCCTGGGAGCACCAAATGGGTTCCATTGCTCATTGTAGCTGCAGCCTGGAACCAGGGTCTGCTCTCTTCCGTACCACATGCTCCAGCACAATACTCTAAGGAGTCCTAGGATTTTCATCCAAATCATCCAAAAAAATTTTTCAAGGTCAACCAATGGAATGCATTTTCCTCAACACTGACTTTGCTGTACCTTTAAAATATGTAACTACATGGCTATGGGCCTCTATGCATGCCTCCTTAACAATCATAGAGGGTTCTTAGGCCTTTGCCTAGCCTCCCTACTAGGCCTCTACTCCTGGGGATTGTTCAATCTACCTCCTTTCTTCTACCTCTAAATCAGCACCTTGGAGGTCAGAACAACCAGCTAACAAGCTTCACTGCACTCATAGGGAAGCAAAGGCCCAAGGAGGAAGGGATTTGCTGGTATAATGCTGAAACCCTCCCTGCCAGTTCATTCCCCCGTTGCCATTCCCATCTGTCTCTGACTCCCATCTTGAACTACTCAATTCTAATTTCTAACCTCATTCACATTTAAGCATGAACCCCATCATGTGTTATACTGGGTGACCTTTTGATTTTGCCTTTTGACTGCTCCAAACTCTGTCCCCTGGCAGCCACACTGTGAGAATGACAGACAAAACTGGTCCAAGAAGTGGCTTGTCATGCCTGAGAAGCTTTAAAACTGATGTACTCTGTCTGGCTGTTGAGAATGAAGTCTGGCCACATCTCCTATCTCCTACCTGCATTATCATGATCCCCTCTTCCAACTGACTTGCTTGCAGTATGTGCACACAGCCAGCCTCCCAACCAGAACCCAGGAAAGGGGCTGCAGCCTCACACTCTCCAAAGATGCACATGCTCATAAGACTCTCCAGTACACAAGTCATGCCTGGCCTCTCTCAACAAAAGACTGTGAGTGACTTTGACTGAAGCCCTGGGGGAGTTGAAAGATGGGACTTACCATAACCCTACTCTTACCTCTCCACCACATATCTGTGGAACAGGCAAGAAGGGCGAACAAATGAAGACCTCTCCTCCAGACCAGTGAGATGGGACTCTAAAGAATGGAGCTGTTGAGTCTCAGAAGGGAACACAGCCCTAGACACCTCCTGAATCAGGACAAAGATATCTTATGTCCTCCTTGATCGAATCCTAGGAGAAAGCAAAGAATAAAACTATCTGAGTACCCCCAGGAGGATAGTGGAATGCTTGTTTTTAGTGCAAACTAAAGCAAACTCTGTGTTTACACAGGTGTGTGCATATCTGCAGTGTAGGCCAAAAGAGGACAGATAACTGTTAAGCATGGCCTAACACTTTGGAGTGGCCTGGAAATGGCTCCCCAGCTAGCAGCTTTTGCATGGTGGGGAGTTTGGGAAGTCCCTTTCCTCATACATTTTGAGGACAAAACAGACTTGTTCATGTTGTCATGACTGAAGATCACAGACCCCTCCTAGGTGCCATCTCCAAAGGACATGTTCCCCACTCCCAGCCATCTGTTGATCCTCTGCTGCTCCCTATCTGTGATACACACAGAACAGAGATGCCAGGCCTCCCTCCACAAGGGACACATCTCTCTCCAATGCATGCAGCACTGACTGACAGCCCTTTGGGTTCTGCCTTGGTCACTCTGTGGTTTCACTCCAGGCCACACCCATCCTAAGGCATATCCATACCTAGTCACTGGGCTTGGTGATATGTAATATCTCAGCCAATTTTGCCCACGTAGCTACAACTCTGATGGGTAATTTTCGTTCCAAAACTCTCCATGCATCAGAACAAGACTTTGCTGGGGCTGCATCATAGTCTAACTTGCCCCATCCCTTCTTTTCCTCTGAATTCTTTTCATGGGTGTTGGCTAAACAGTTTGTGCCCATTAGCGGCCAAAATGGTAGCTCCAGAAAAGTATGTTCATGTCTTAGTTCCTAGAAACTGTGACAATTACCTTATATGGGAGAAGATAAGGTTAAGGACTCTGGGACTTTCCAGGATTATCAAAGTAGGTCCTAAATGGCAGCCCATTTGTCCTCATATGAGGGAGGCAGGGGAACTTTTAAGAGAGAAGAACCAGTGATGTCAGGTTAAAATTGGAATGAGGCAGGCAGTGGTGGTGCACACCTTTGATCCCAGCACTTGTGAGGCAGAGGCAGGTAGGTCTCTGTGAGTTCGAGGCCACCAGAAAATTCCAGGACAGCCAAGGCTGTTAAACAGAGAAAACATACCATAGTGGAGAGGGTGTCTGAATGGGCCTTCCTCTTTAATCAGATTAGTGACTACCCAAACTGTCATCATAGAACCAACATCCAGTAACTGATGGAAGCAGATGCAGTGATAAACAGCCAAGCACTGGGCTGAGTTCCTGGAGTTCACTTGAAGAGAGAAAGGAGGAATTATATGAACAAGGCAGGGTCAAGATCATGATGGGGAAAACCACAGAGACAAGTGACCTGAGCTAGTGGGAGCTCATGTACTCTGGACTGACAACTGGGGAACCTGCATGGAACCAAACTAGACCCTTTGAATGTGGGTGACAGTTATGTGACTTGATCTGTTGGGGAGACTGTCATTGGCACCAGGACGTATCCACAGTGCATGACCTGGCTTTTTGGAGCCCATTCCCTATGGAGGGATACCTTGTTCAGCCTTGATACAGGGGGGAGGAACTTGGTCCTGCCTCAACTTGGTATGCCAGACTTTGTTGACTCCCCAAGGAAGGCCTTACCGCTCTAAGGACTGGATGGGGTGGGAAGGGAGGAGGTGGGGCTGGAGAAGGAACTGGGGTTGGTATGTAAAATGAAAAATAAAAGTTTTTAAATAAAAAATAGATTGGAATGAGGGCAACTATAACCCAAGGAACTCCAGCAGTCCCTGGAAACTGAAAAAGACCAGGAATGGCTCCTTCTATGGGTCAGAAGGAACAGAATCTTATGCTACCCTAATTTCAACCCAGTGAGCCCCAAGAGCTGCGAGGAAATATAATTCTATTGGTTTGCACCACCTCCTGAAGGCAGGGTTTAAATGAGTCCACAAGAGCCAGGATAAATGATAAACAGGTATTTGTTAGGGAAGCATTTACACAGGTAAGAGTAAATAACCGCTGAAGTCTTCCTGCTCCAGAAGATGCCATCTCTCCCCTTCTGATACTCTCACCACAACCCAAGAGAGCAAGCCAGCCCCTCCTCTTCCTTACAAGTGGTCACATCTGAACACCTGAAGCCACAGCCCTAGGATGTGGCCACGGCTGCAAGTTCACTGGCAAAGCAAAATGCCACCACAACCTCCTTCATAGTAATTTGTTCGAGCATCTGCGGGAATCCACTACATACTCCAGAATCTACTGAATATCACCTTCCAGAGAGCTCCACCTGCAATACTCATTCACAGTCTCCTGTGAGCAAAAGGAAAGTCATCCTAGGGCTGATGGTGTAGTACACTGGTAGTGCATGCACTTAGCATGCTTGGGGCCCTAATTTCAGCCCCCAGTACAGCAAAACTATGTCGTGGCATGGGGAAGCATAGGATGTATCCCCATCCAGGGCTGAGGGCTTCCTTCCTCCAAAGCTCTAGACACCACTGAAGACCCTGCTCAGTCCTACATTTATGCAGAGCCTTTCTTGCAAGGCCAGCCACCACAGATCACTTTCTGAACCCTATCCCTGAAATTCCAGTCCACATTTGAGTGTGCTTTCAAGCAGATCTGTGTCCTGCTTGCCCATCCAGCTGGGAGCTTGCTGAGTCTGGGGGTGATGTGGAGAACTCTGTGTTCCCCAAGACAAGGGAGGGCTGGACACAGAGCAGAGGCTGAGAGCAGTGAATGCCTTCTTCAGACCTTCTCTACATTGTTCATACACCATAATGGCTACCCATTAGATGGAACCACTTCTCACTAGGCAAGAGACACATGAGTCAACACTCAAGAGACTTCAACCAAAACAAAGTTATCACCAGCTATTCTCTACTCCCTGGGATTAGAGTGGAGGCATTATTTTGCCAGGTTATATCAGCCACATGTTTTAGCCCTGTAGGTCTGGCTATATGATTTGTGGAACTCAAGGAAAAATGGAAATATGAGATGGATCTATACAGAAACAACTAATAGTTGCAAGGTGAGACAGCAAAGCTAAGCTGAGGTTCTCTACTGTGTAGTTTACAGGCTCACCAACTGGCCCAAGGAGTGGACTGCAGATACAGATTCTCCTTACGCTTGGCATTGAGTGCTGCTGGAATTTGCTGAGGGCTCATTTATCCTCCATACCCAAGGGCAGCAAGGGTAGGACAGGAGTGAAATACAATATAGGCCTATGAGATCTGCCTCAGCCAGCTACTCAGCAGAGTCTGACTCAGCAGAGGAGAAAGTTGGCTTCAGTGTGTTGTTAAGTGTGGCAGTTTTTCAGTCTCCTGCCTGGGGTCTTGCCACATCTGACTTCTGCTGTAGGTGATTCCCTAAGTCTGAACATTTTCTCCTGTGTTACATAAATACTTTGTTGGAGCTGAGGTCTTTGGGGGAAAGTCTTGATCTCTGGGAATAGACTGGCTTGCAAATCATGACTGTCCTGTTTCTGTGTAACTTTTGCCATGTTATTTACCTTTTCCGGGACTCATTTTCTAAGTGTATAAAACAGAGATGAATAGTTTTACTCTTGCAGAAATGCTGTCT